ATGCCGTGGTACCATGCGGACCTGTATGGGTCTCATCGAGGTGCTGGGGCAGCACAAGGTCACCACTGCCCCTGCATGGCACAGACATCGCTGCCACCTCCTGTGATGTCCCCAGAGCAAGGCCAGAACTGTCCCCCAGCCTGCCCAACCCTGCTCCAGTAGTGGGGGATTCCCTCTGCTCCCCACCTAGCTGGGCAGGACGTGGTGTCCCCAAGGATGCTGGCACCCAGGTGCCACCCACACTGTCCCCCACGCAGCCGCCGCCAGCTCCACAGCCCCACGCTGGGCACTGCCCGCAGCCCCTGCTCCCCAGGGTGTCCCCATTGCGGCGCGGGCACCCGGCCCTGACCCGGCGCTGCTTTTGCTCTGCTCGCTGTCCCTCCTGCAGGGCAGTGGGCAGCCCCCTGGTCATGGACCCCAACAGCATCATCCGGCCGCAAGACAAAGCGGCTGGCCGGAAAGCAGGCGGAGCTGTGCCAGCTGGAGCCGGAGATTGTGCAGGAGGTGGCCAAGGGCACCAAGCTGGGCGTGCGGGAGTGCCAGTACCAGTTCCGCTTCCGCCGCTGGAACTGCACCAGCCACAGCAAGTACTTCGGAAAGATCCTGCAGCAGGGTAAGGCCACGGCCCCGCTGACCCCCCACCCTCTCTGCTCCCCAAAACACGCTGCAGCCTCCAGCCGCGAGGCTGCACCCGCCGGTGCGCGTCCACCCGTGCGCGCGGGTGTGCAGGTGTGTGTGTGCGCACAGCCGCACCGGGAGCCCCTGGCAGCCCAGCCCCTCGGGGTGAGCGTGTGTGTGTGCGTGCGTGTGAGCAGCGCGGGGGCCTCGTGCTGCACAGCGCAGTCACGCCGAGCTTTTACTGCCGGAACATGTCTCCCCGTGTTGTAATGAAGCAATTAGCGATGCTCCCAGACAGCGCGGGGCTTCACAGAGCCCAAGAATGCACCCGCGTCTGGCAGTGATTTACTGCTGCCCCAGGACCCCTCTGGGGGAAGGGGTCTGCGAGGGAGGCAGCGCTGGGAGCTGCCCCTGGCCCAAGGGAGCTCTGCACATCCCCTCTGTGCTGGCCTTGGAGGGGACGTGGGGCAGGGCAGCTCGCCCACGGTCCCCAAGGTGGGCGCCCAGATGTCACCACTGCGGGCACTTCCCATGCCAGAGGGAAAGGGGCTGGGTGTCAGGGAGGGACAAGCGGGTCCTGTGCATGCACCAGCCTGGCCTTCGGCAACTGGATGGGGAAGCCCAAAGGCCCTTTCTAGTGCTTGGAGAGCTGGTGTGGCCACGTCCCTGGACTGGCAGCACCTCTCCCAGGTGGTTACATGGGGTTGAGTGCATCCAGGCAAAGGCAGAGCAGATATGTACTTGGGTCTTGCCAGGAGGCCGGCGGGGCCACAGTCCCCAGTGCAGAGCACCCTGGGCATCTCCAGTATCGAGATGCTCCTCATTTTTGTGGAGTTGGGAACTTGGCCCAAGAGCTGCCCACCAGCAGGGAGGGAAGAGCTGCCACCGTGGGACCCTGCCAGTGCCCAACTCACTGAGGAGGGGAGAGCAGAGAGCTCAGGGGGAGCCACCCACTGCTGCCTCTCAGTGGGGACACGTGCCCATGGCACAGCTCTGTCCCTGAGAAAGTGGCCCAACTGGGCATGGCGGGCACATTTAAGGCACTGATTTGCAGAGGTGGGATCCCACCAGTCTGGAGATACATATTCAGTCCTGGGACAGAGAGCCAGGGACAGCCAAAGGGACTGTCCTGCCTCCTGAGCAACCTGTTTGAAGGCTGTCCTGGCAGTGAGGCAGGTGGGATCTGTGCCAGGACGGGCTCCAGGCTGGAAGCGGGCTGTGCTAGCCTGCCAAAGCCGGGCCAGATGGCGAGTGGGTGATGCTGACAGATGAACTGTCTGGTACCTGGGGGGAAGCTCGGGTTGGAGGAGTCACGGGCACATTGGGCATGGGGATGCTGGAGGAGCTGCCAAGCTCCATTTGGCCCAGTAGCTTTGCCAGGGTCACGGGTATGAGCAGTGTCGCAGGGACGACGGTGAGGCTGGGAGTCCCTGGGCCTCTCCCGGGAGAGACAGGAGGCCGAGGGAAAGCCCATCTGGAGGTGCAGAGCTCCTCGGGGCTGTAGCTGTGGGCAACAGATAGAGAGCTCGCTGTGAGCCGAGAGCATCTCTGCAGGCAGACATCAGCCTTGCTTCAGCTCTGCACAGGCCAGCCCAGGCTCCCCAGCAGCCCTGGCATCTGCTCAGCAGCCTCCTCTTTCCAAGTGAAGATGCTGCAGCAAGCCCTGGTTTCCATCCATGGCCTTCCTGGCTGGTCCCGTATAACATCTGACCATGGTCCCATGTGTGGGGGCACCCCAGCTGGTTGCAAGGCATCCTATTCCCTCCGAGACGGGGCGCAGTGCCACGGTGCTGCAGTCGCAGCCGTTTCCCGGGGGTGCCTTCCCAGAGAGTCCCAGCAGCTGGAGGCAGAGTGACAGCAGCTGAGGACTCCCCCCTTTCCAGGAGGGCCCTTTGAGAGCTCGGGGGGTGCAGGTGTGTGCAGACACACGGTCAGCAGCCTCTTGATGCACATGTTCACTGCAGGCATTTGCTGCCCCCATGCATGTGCCTTGCAGTGGTGCCTGGGCTCCCCAAAGCCCGGAGGGACATGCAGGGTCACAATGTGACCAGGACACACATGGCAAGGCTGTGGTGCTGTCTCAGGAACAATGAGGCCCCCAAAAGCTACCATTGTGAAGGGGACGTGCAGCCCATCCAATGCTGCATCCCAGGGCCATCCGGGGTCTAGCTGGGGGTGATAATATCCCCCCAGCCCCTCTCTCTGTCCCTATGTGGGCTGCAAAGCCCTGCCACATCCCCCTGCCAGCCCTCCCTGGCCACGCCACTGCCGTGTCGTGTCCCCTCCATCCCCATGCCATAAGCACCACTGTGTGTCCCCCCAGGCCACCCCTGGCGTTCGAGTGGGCAGGAGGCCGCCTGGCATGGGGGAATGTGGGACCCCCCCGAGCAGGGCGCCGCGCTCCCACTGCCAGAATCCCCCGCTGGCTGCGGCTGCGAGCGGCAGGTCCGGGCAGGGGAAGGATGCTTGGAATTTGTGTCCCGGAGCAGAGCGAGACAGGAGCAAATACTAATAATAAATAATCCTGTAGGGTGGAGGCTGCGCCGGCGGAGGGAGGGGGGCAGGCATCTCCCATGGCAAAGGGGGCATGGAGGGGGGCCAGGCAGGACGGCTTCACCCCAGGCACCCTGGAGAGGGGCAAGCAGCACCCGCAGGGCATCTCCCCGTGCCATCGCCCTGCTCTCCCCTGGGGTCCAGCTTGCACCTGGGGGTGGGATTTTCACAGCTCTGGGGGAAATAGGGGGACAGCGAGGGGGCAGTGAGTACCACCTGGTTATAAAGCACCCCTCCCATCCACCGGCACCCCAAGGCACTCTATCTGTCTATGGGCAGCCCCAGCTCTTGCAGGGGGAGGCAAGGGGCAGAAGGGGAGAGCCGAGCACCCGTGGGGTGTAATGGATCCCGTAGTTGCTTGCTGAGCCCACACGTGGGTCCGTGTCGCTGCCCTGCAGATATCCGCGAGACGGCGTTCGTGTATGCCATCACGGCGTGCAGTTCGGCTACGAGAAGTCCCAGCAGTTCATGGACGCCAAGAGCAAGAAAGGCAAGAACGACATCCGGGCCCTCATCGACCTGCACAACAACGAAGCCGGGCGCCTGGTAAGGACCCTCCGCTCCCATCGCTCCGCTCCTGTCATTCCCATGGGGTGGCTGCGATGGGACCCCATTGCCCCCACTGATCACCCAGCTCAGCTCTCATCATGCATCCCCCAGCAAAGCTCTCCCTCCCCACGGACCCCTCTGCCCATTGCCACCCACCCAGGCCAGGGCAGCACCCAAGAACCAGGGGTGCTGAGCTGGGGGTGCTGGGCACGGGTGCCCAGGAGGTGCCCAGAGAGGACACCCCTGAGCTGAGTGTCCCCCTGTCCTCCCAGGCGGTGCGGAGCTACATGAGGACGGAGTGCAAGTGCCACGGGCTGTCGGGCTCCTGCACCCTGCGGACCTGCTGGCGGAAGATGCCCCATTTCCGTGAGGTGGGCGACCGCCTGCTCGAGCGCTTCAACGGCGCCTTCAAGGTGATGGGCGGCAACGACGGGAAAACCCTCATCCCTGTGGGCGATAACATCAAGCCGCCCGACAAGCAGGACCTCATCTACTCGGCCGACTCTCCCGACTTCTGCTCGGCCAACCGCAAGACGGGCTCGCTGGGCACGCGGGGCCGTGTCTGCAACAGCACGGCCATGGACACCAGCGGCTGCGACCTGCTGTGCTGCGGGCGCGGGCACCGCGACGAGACCGTGGTGCTGGAGGAGAACTGCCTGTGCCGCTTCCACTGGTGCTGCGTGGTGCAGTGCCGCAAGTGCTCCGTGCGCCAGGAGCTCAGCCTCTGCGTGTGACGGCCCCGGCCGCGCCACTGCGGCCAGGCCGGGACGCTTCAGGGGCCACCGCCAGCCCCAGGACACGGAGAGGCCGCCCTGGAGAGGGGGTTGAGCTGGCGGCAGGGACAATGTGGGGAGCCCAGCTCTCGCCCTTGTCATGCAGGGGACATTTGGGGGCTGCCTGGTGTTCCCGCGGCCCCTGCAATGGGAGCTGCTGGGGCAGAGCTGCCACCAATAAAGCTATTTAAACCCGTTGTCCCGCAGCGCTTGCTGGGGAGGACTGGGAAGCCCTTCTTCCGAGATGCCGGTGTTGTCCCAGCTCCACCCGACCAGGATCGCCGTGATGAACAACTTCTGCGGTGGCCACGTCCAGGCAGTGCTGCTGGCCACCTGGGTGCGAATCCCTTCGAGACCTCCTGTATTTTCTTCTCA